TACTTATCTTGCTAACTAAATTTTCTGATTTTTTTTTTCCAAAAAACTATTTGCATCAGTGGATATTAATAAACTGAGAGATACTCTTTATCTAGACTTAAATAACTTCATGAAAGGGTCACGTTGAAGAGACATATAATGTAACGGTTAATGGTACCGAAAAGAATCTCGGAATAGTTGATCGATAGGACACAGAGTAACCATACATTATTTAAAAGGAGAAAGGGGATTGGTTATAAATGGGGTTCCGAAGAAAGTCGGCATTGCGTCCTGTTGCGTTCATAATTTACATAGATGGTTTTGGCATTGGAATAAATAGCTATATAATATAGTTTACCCACGATACTAAAAAACAAGATGGGTGACAAATACATACTAAGAATGCTTTCAAATGGATCCAGTATATTATAAATAAGCTAATACGATGGTCTCTTAATGGAGCTGTAGTTTAACGTGAAACATTATTTGATCTTAAGTGTACAGTAGAATTAAAATATCTTATGATTGATAAACAAATTTAAAATTTAAAAATGAATAATAAACCCAGTGTAATTCTTTGCTTCATATTAGGAAATTTATTCATTACTGTAAATGACCCTATCCCTAATGCGGCTTCAATTAAAACATGAAGAGTAATTTTGGTCTCTGTATTAAAGATTGGATATACATACTTCAAAGTGCATTCCAAGAACGATGACACAGTTTTTCTCCAGTATTAGGAATCTTTCTTACGATGAATGATTCAAATCAATGACTTTGCATTCTGTCATAAGCGGAACAATGAGTGTGTGATGCCTGAATTGTAAAATGGCTGAAAAGCATAAAGAAAAAAATGGCTAGCAAGAGAAAAATTATTTTACCAAACACGAAACTATGAATTCAAATTGAACAAAAACGAATTTTAGATAAGTGACAAAAATGTCACAAAGATACTTCACTAACGCAATTACATAGGAAAGTTTTACAAATAAGCGAGACAGACACATACAGTAATTAGACATGGCTGGTTAAAACTAAGTCCTGTTTCTCATGGATCGGTAGGTTTACTACAGTGATCATTTGTTTTTATTGTCTTTGATTTTCCAATTTCCCCAGGAGTCAGCCGCCATGATAAGAACAATGATAGAGACAAGGGCAAGGCTGGTGGGTGTGGTGTTCTGTCATCCGGTTGTGCTTGGCCTCAGATGCATTTCGAAACCGTTTGTGTTTTACCTTCTTTTGTTTACAATGGCTGAATTATAGGTCCTGGTCACACCTCTTAATTAAAAGCAAGCAGATTTGATGATTTACTTATTTCAAATTCACTAAATCGAGGCCTAATGGTGCTTACCTTATCAAGTTATAGAGACGTTTATTGAGTGTACTTCCATCACTTCTTCATTACATAAGAACATAAGGATGGAGGAACACTGCAGAAGGCCTGCTGGCCCATACAAGGCAAGTCCTTATCAAAACCACCACTACCACATCCAGTAAACTTACCGTTTACTGGATGTACTTCCTCCTAGCCACGTGCTTCGTGTCATCACCCAGAGACGGAAGAAATATTTCCTGACGTCCCCGAGATTCATATGGGTGGGAGCGGGTCAGTGAGTGAAGCGCTGCAGCGCTGCTCCTCGCCGAACTAACAACATTAATAATATAATATAATACCTTTATTTCTACAAGTAAATGTACAAAGTATACAGACCTAACTGACATACTACTATATAGAAAGTAGTTTGTTATGCAGAGCATTTCGGGCAAATTAGGTCAGTTTTGTCCCAGGATGCGACCTACACCAGTCGACTAACAAACAGGTACCCATTTCAGTGATGGGGAACATGGACAACCTCTGGGAATCGAACCCAGACCCTCGTCGTGTGAAGCGAGAGCTTGAGCCACCAGGCCACGGAGCACCCTCCAACTAGGCATATTTCTATACCCTAAAAGCTGCCATCGTGACTCACGAAATAGCAATAACACGATTGCAAATAAATCAGAATTTCGTGATTCATCTGTATCTTTAACTACCAACTGTTTCCCACCTCTCCAACAGTCTATCCCTGACCAACCAATCAACTGTTTCCCACCTCTCCAACAGTCTATTTCTGACCAACCAATCAACTGTTTCCCACCTCTCCAACAGTCTATTTCTGACCAACCAATCAACTTGTCTTAGCAGTTTGTTTGTCATTATGGTGTCTCTTCAATTCTCATTAGCTTTAGCTTCTTTAATCCCTCTTATCCTGTGTGTGTGTGTGTGTGTGTGTGTGTGTGTGTGTGTGTGTGTGTGTGTGTGTGTGTGTGTGTGTGTGTATGTGTATGTGTGTATGTGTGTGTGTGTGTGTGTGTGTGTGTGTGTGTGTGTGTGTGTGTGTGTGTGTGTGTGTGTGTGTGTGTGTGTGTGTGTGTGTGTGTGCGTACAAACCCAGTTGTATTGCAGGGGTCGATTTACTGTTCCTGGTCCCGCCTCTTCACTGGTCGCTACTAAGTCACTCTTCCTGCTCCATGTGCTGGATCATACCTCTTCTTAAAACTATGTATGGACCCTGCCTCCACTACATAACTTCCCAGACTATTCCACTTCCTGACAACTCTGTGACTGAATAAATACTTCCTAACATTACTATGATTTATCTGAGTCTTCAACTTTCAACTGTGTCCCCTTGTTGCTGTGTCCCATCTCTGGAACATCCTGTCACTGTCCACCTTGTCAATTCCTCTCAGCATTTTATGTGTCGTTTTCACATCCCCCATATCTCTCCTGTCCTCCAATGTCGTCAGGTCGGTTTCCCTTAACTCTCCTCGTAGGACATGCACATGCGTGTGTGTGTGTGTGTGTGTGTTATATATATATATATATATATATATATATATATATATATATATATATATATATATATATATATATATATATATATATATATATATATATATATATATATATATATATATATATATATATATGTCGTGCCGAATAGGCAGAACTTGCGATCTTGGCTTAAATAGCAACGCTCATCTTGCCATATAGGACAAGTGAAAATTTGTGTATGCAATAATTTCGCCAAAACCATTCTGAACCTAACGAAAAAAATATATTTGATTTTGTTTGTTTAGTACTAAATTATTGTAAACGTATTTAAAATATATTTAGTTGGGTTAGGCTAAAATAAATGGCTCTTGTTATAATAAGGTTAGGTAAGTTTTTTAAGATTCTTTTGGAGCAAAATTTAAATTTTTTACATTAACATTAATGAAAAAAATATATTTTTAAACGTATAAGAGAAAATTTCAGAAAGGACTTAATTTTAAATGAGTTCTTGCTAATTGACCAGTTTTACATATTCGGCACGACATATATATATAATGTGTGTGTGTGTGTGTGTGTGTGTGTGCTTGTTTCCATTAAATATATAATTTTATGTATCAACATTTAAACATTAAAATCGTATCGTTCAAGACATATATTCTGTCATTGTCCCATCAGCCTTGGGCACTGCTCCACTTATCAGGGTCATATGACAACATTCACAGCTCCTGGATGCCAGAGTATAAAAGGACAGACAGTCTCCTCACACATTACACACCTTCCTCGGCAAAGAAGCAACACACAGCAGTCATGAAGGCTCTGACGACTCTGGTGAGTACCACACCTGCCCTGGTTTTCTGTCTTGTTAAGTGATGTGAATCTCCAAGATTAGAACAAAATGGTATAAAATACATATTCAGTTGAAATCAAATAACACCCGGCCAGTGACCTAAAGGAAACTATTAGGTCACTGGCCGGGTGTTATATATATATATATATATATATATATATATATATATATATATATATATATATATATATATATATATATATGCAAAACAACCACTCTGAAAAAATAGAGAAATTCCAAGCGCATTCGTGACTACTCACATTATCAAGGAACTATAGTTCCTTGATAATGTGAGTAGTCACGAAAGCGCTTGGAATTCCTCTATTTTTTCAGAGTGGTTGTTTTGCATATTCCGAAATCACCTGTTTACTGTGATCTTATTGCATATATATATATATATATATATATATATATATATATATATATATATATATATATATATATATATATATATATATATATATATATATATATATATATATAATGCGCAGAACAGGCAAAATATTCACAAACACTAATCTCTAGTCGAAGGAGACTCGAACCTACGAACTTTGGGGCAAGGTACGCAGTGCTATAACTACCCAGCCACCCAGGTATTGGACCAGTGTGGCTCGGTGGTTATAACACTGCGTACCTTGTCCCAAGGTTCGCAGGTTCGAGTCTGCTTCAACGAGAGATTAGTGTTTGTGAATATATATATATATATATATATATATATATATATATATATATATATGTCGTGCCGAATATGTAAAACTGGTCAATTAGCAAGAACTCACTTAAAATTAAGTCCTTTCTGAAATTTTCTCTTATAAGTTTAAAGATATATTTTTTTCATTAATGATAATGTAAAAAAATTTAATTTTGCTACAAAAGAATCTTAGAAAACTTACCTAACCTTATTATAACAAGAACAATTTATTTTAGCCTAACCTAACTAAATATATTTTAGATTTGTTTACAGTAATTTAATACTAAACAAACACAGTGAAATATACTTTTTTCGTTAGGTTCAGAATGATTTTGGCGAAATTATTGCATACACAAATTTTCACTTGTCCTATATGGCAAGATGAACGTTGCTATTTAAGCCAAGATCGCAAGTTCTGCCTATTCGGCACGACATATATATATATATATATATATATATATATATATATATATATATATATATATTATATATATATATATATATATATATATATATATATATATATATATATATATATATATATATATATATATATATATATATATACGAAGCTGTGGCAGGCCAGGATTCGACCCCACGACACACTGTGCCGCCTCAAGAGACGACACAAGAGACATCCACTGCCACGCAGTATGAAACAAGCCTTGCTCGGTAGGCTCAAGTTGTATATAGGATCGATGGCGGAGTGGATAAGGTGACACGTACGTACGTTGTGCTGTCTCTTGAGGTGGGACAGTGTGTTGTGGGGTCGGACCCTGGCATGTCGCAGTTTCGTAAATCGACCCCTGCAATACAACTAGGTGAGTACACACACACACACACACACACACACACACACACACACACACACACACACACACACACACACACACACGTCAGTAGTGTTACTGATTCCCTGTGATATACTTGTGTAGTTATTCCCAGCTATGTTATACAAACTTCCCTGTCCAGCTAGCACACCAGTAATCATTACGGTCACCGAATCCCTACATTAATAAGACCGCTTAGTGACTCACTGCTGACCTAGCATGATGTCACGAGCTCGGCACTGGATAGGCAGTTGAACCCAAGACAGTATAGACTATATAGAGTGAGGTCAGGCCCTGGCGCTACTCATATCACTAATATATGCTACCTAGACATCCATCGAGTGTATTTATTCTCCAGATCAATCACCTCCGAACCCTACGACAAATTGGTGGCTGCCTCCAATTTGGCGTAGGATTCGGTGATGATAGATTTAGAAAATAATAACCCTACTGTGCACATTACCTGGTATACTCAATTACTCAATAAACTTATTCCCCTATAATTTTTACAATCTCTTTTGCCCCCCTTCCCTTTATAGAAAGGAACTATACATGCTCTCCGCCAATCCCTAGGTACCTTCCCCTCTTTCATACATTTATTAAACAAAAATACCAACGACTCCAACACTATATCCCCCCCTGCTTTTAACATTTCTGTCATGATCCCGTCAGTTCCAGCTGCTTTACCCCCTTTCATTCTACGTAATGCCTCACGCACCCCCCCCCCACACTCGCATCCTGCTCTTCTTTACTCCTAAAAGATGGTATACCTCCCTGGCCAGTGCATGAAATTACCGCTTCCCTTTCTTCGTCGACATTTAAAAGTTCCTCAGGATATTCCCGCCATCTACCCAAAACCTCCATCTCCCCATCTACTAACTCTCTTACTCTGTTTTTAACTGACAAATCCATTCGTTTCCTAGACTTTCTTAACTTGTTTATCTCACTCCAAATTTTTTTCTTATTTTCAGTAAAAATTTCTTGACAGTGCCTCTCCCACTCTATCATCTGCTCTCCTTTTGCACTCTCTCACCACTCTCTTCACCTTTCTTTTACTCTCCATATACTGTGCTCTTCGTATAACACTTCTGCTTTGTAAAAACCTCTCATAAGCTACCCTTTTCTCTTTTATCACACCTTTACTTCATCATTCCTCCAATCACTCCTCTTTCCTTCTGAACCCACCCTCCTATAACCACAAACTTCTGCCCCGCATTCTAATACTACATTTATATATATATATATATATATATATATATATATATATATATATATATATATATATATATATATATATATACATATACAGAGATCGCAGTCAGCAGGATTCGATACTGGTACTGAGAGACGGGCAAGATTCCCATGCAGCGCTCTTATCCACTCAGCCACAAATGCCTCTAAAGCTGGGCAGCCTGGTTCACAAGCCATGTTTCTTTCCCAGCCCGGGCACGTCAGTGAGCCTCAAGCTATTTCAATCTCCTCCTGTATATTCTGACCTCACAAGCGATTTTTATATAAATGTACCATGCAGAAACAAGCGGGTATATCCTGAGAAAGATCGCAGTCAGCAGGATTTGTGGCTGAGTAAATAAGAGCGGTGCCTGGGAATCTTGCCCATATCTCAGTAGCAGTATCGAATCCTTCTGACTGCGATCTTTCTCTGTATATTCCCGCTTGTTTCTGCACGGTGCATTGATATATATATATATATATATATATATATATATATATATATATATATATATATATATATATATATATATATATATATATTTATTTCCACTTTATATTTTTAATCTAACATGTTTTGTTTAACTCTTCTTTTCTACACTCAGATGATTTTCATGTTAGTGGGATTTGCAGCAGCAAAACCTAAACCTGCTGCAAAACCTGGTATCGGAGGACTTGGCCTTGGAAGCCTTGGTCTCGGCGGCTTCGGTCTCGGCGGCCTCGGTCTTGGCGGCCTCGGTCTTGGAGGTTTCGGTCTCGGCAACCTCGGTCTGGGAGGCCTTGGTGTCGGAGGCGGCGGCTATGGTCTCGGAGGCGGCGGCTATGGTTTCGGAGGCGGCGGCTATGGTCTCGGCAGCAGTTATGGCCTTGGAAGCGGAGGCTATGGTTTGGGAGGCGGAGGCTTCGGTCATGGAGGAGGCAGTTATGGTCTCGGAGGTCTTGGTCTTGGAGGAGGTGGCTACGGTCTTGGAGGTTTTTATGGATAAGATGCAAGACCTTCCATATCTAATCATTTCTCAAACACCTCTATAGCTGTGAAATATAAATGGTCCTCTATATTATGTATTACTAAAGTGCAGTAAATGCCCTTTTTTTAAATAAATTCTTGATAATCCCAATAATTTGATATTTCCATATGAAACATTACTTAATACTTGCTTAATAAACTTGCTTGACAACCTCTAATATTACCTATTTTTCTGATATTTTATGCAATTATACTTATTTTCCTATTTGTTTGCTTGTGTATTCGTCAATTTGTGCGCTTATGTATTCGTCTGTTTGTGGTTGCAAGGGTCGAGTTACAGTTCATGCCACGTCTTTTCGCTGATGTGGACTCGCCTATTAGTATTCCATTACCTCTGTACTAGTATATGTAATGTACAGACCTCAGTGGCAACCTGCAGACCCCATAACTTCCAGACAGAAAATGTCACCCTGTTGGTGGTCTCGACCAACATTTTATACAGAGGGACTTCGATGATCTCTTTGCAGTGTTTGACATAAGAAACTTTGTTTATTTCTCTACTCAAATCTCTGGCTCGTTCCTTGAGCCAGTAGTGAGAGAGCTGTCTTAATGTATATTTACTTGCCAACCCCTTGGTTGTGTTGGATCATCTGACCAAAAGGCTGTCTTTACGACACTGAAAATTCGAACAGAATGAGGTGAAGAATTTACATTCACAACCTGGGTATGAGAAAGGGGAAACTGGCCAGCTCTATGCTCAGAGCTTATAGCCTCTGATTGGAATACTCTTCTCCAAGATGAGGTTGATAACCAGGTGAATGCCCTGGCTGAACATATCCTTAATCTCAACCACAAAACATCCCTCAGTGGCAGAATGTGACAGCCTTCACATCAGCCTTGGTTCGGCTTTTGTTGTGGAGAGGCCGCTACTGCTATGTACAAGATTGGAAAAAATATAACAAGCAACCACTATTTATAACTGGTGTTGGGTGGGGCTTCTAGGAGATAAAGGAGGTGTAGAAATACACTCGGGAATGAATGTTACACTTGTATTGGCAGAGTAGTGAGGGGAATGTTAGTCCAGCCTACCTGTACTCGCCTGTGGCCTATCGGGATCTGAGATGGAGGCCTCTGGGCCCACGCTCACATGCGTCACTGCATGACTTCACATGCTAGCCACTGAGCTTAGCAAGGGATCCTATATATAATATATATAGATGGTACAAACTACGATATGCTACACAAACATATACATACTAATTCAGTAGCGATACTGACACTGGAACATGCATAGGAAAGTCTGTCTTTCAATGGATGAAGTCCAAAATCGCTCCATCTCTAGGTGGAAAGCTGATACAAAATGAAACTAGCATCAGGTAGGTTGAGCTCCAAAACCTGGTGGTCCTAGGTGAGGGTTATTCATCTCGTGAAATTATTCCACGGCTGGGGCCGTTATTACTAACAATCAGGAGAAGGCTGACCTCTTTTCTGAACACTTTACTGCCAAGATGTAAGTTCCTGATCCAGCAAGGAAACCTTTGCTAGCCACAAGAAATGTGTCAAAGTTGCTAGAGGTGACAATTTGGCAGGATGAAGGTCATCTCCTCCTTACATCCCTGGACAAAGAAAAAGCTGTGGGCCCAAATAAGGTAAGTCCAAGATTTGTGAGTAGATGTGCATCAGCTCTAACTCGCAAATATCAGCACTGCCTAGCACTATGTAAGTGGCCTCTCTGGATAAAGGCAAGTGTAGTCCATGCTCACAACATCAAGAACAGAGCAGAAATCAATAACTACAGACGAGTGTCACTCCTGTCAGGCACTGGCAAAGATTCTTGAGACAATAATCTCATGGCAGATGGCAGTGTTTTTCGACTACCACTCGCATCTTTGTGACCGTCAACATAACTTCAGAAAAGGTCACTTAAAACATAAGTTACCATAGTAAAATCTTAGATATCAGTTCAAGAACCTTAGTCGCCACTTTAAGAACCTAGTGATTGCTCTTAGAACTTTAGTTATCACTGTTAGAATCGAAGTTACCACTGGCTGAATCTAAGTGTTGAAACCAATGTTACCACTATTAGAACCTATGATACCTATGTCAGAACCTATGTTGCCACTGCTAGAACCAAAATTACCGCTATTAGCTCCTAATTCTCGTGTTAGAAATTGAATTTTCGGTGTTAAAGTCTAAAATTACTGTGTTAGAGTCATAGTTTGTTAAAAATAAGAGAAAGGAACTAACGAGTTTACAATAATGGTACAAAAAAAATATATACATATTACGTACATCGGTGAAAACAGCACTCAGAGCGTCCTAAAGTCTGGAACCATTTGCAGGAGCTCATCATCAAGGCGTGTAATGCCATCACTCCCAGCCCGTACTTGTAATCACAAGAATCACCGCACTGTTGCGAAGATATTCAAATGGAACTCTGATGATGGATCCGTAAACAGTAAAATCCTGACATAGTGATGACTACTGCTCTTTGTGGGCGCCCGTTTTCTGTTCGCACGGCAGAGCTTTGTATTTCTTTTATTTTATAGTTACATTTTCTTCATTGTGGTATGTTAAAACAGTCATATTTTATGAATGAAGGACTTAGCGCTTCTTTTTGATTATAATAAATAAAATAAATATGAATAAAGAAAACTTAGCCTAACCAAACCAAGCCTAACGCAACCTAACATGAAATAATCGAGAAATTTGCTACAAATCGTATGTGATAAATTCACATAGCATGCTATGAGTTATTGTACTGGGTTGTTACTTCAGTCATCATTCACCAGGTAATTGTTGACTGGATATCTATAATACTACTACTACTACTAATAATAATAATAACAATATCTTAATTTCTACAAGTACATGTACAAGGTATACAGTCCTAGCTGACATCAATGACGTATTACTATATAGAAAGCCGCTTGCTATGTAGAGAATTACGGGCAAATTAGGCCAGTTTTGTCCCAGAATGCGACCCACACCAGTCCACTAACCCCCAGGTACCCATTTTACTGATGGGTGGTAGCCCTTCAAGGGAGGTTCCTTGACGCTGGTGAGGGGCTCTTGATCTAGGGAATTGGATCCGTGCTTCAGTTCCCTGAACTGAACCTGAATACCTTCCCTCCCCCACATGCGCTGTATAATCATACGGGTTTAGCGCTCTCTCATAATTATAATAATACTGATGGGTGAACATAGACAACCGGAAACACGACCAAAATTTTCCACGCGGCCGGAAATCGAACCTGGACCCTTCAGCGTGTGAGGCGAGGCGAGAGCTTTCGCCACCAAGCCACGGGCCACCATTAATGTATCGGTACTTACGTTCATTGAATAAAAACTATTATTATTCTCTTTTCATTCTCCCTTTTGTTGTTATATATTATGGTGATAACAAACTAGCATCCACACACAAGTTTTCTATAATGAGGGTCGGAGGAAGTTCCTAAGATTGTCAAACACTGTCATCTGCTTCATAACGACGAGGTGTGGAGTATCTATTAGCGAGTGTCTATTAGTGGGCATCTTTAAGCGGGTATGGTGGATCTAACCTCCGTCATTCGTCGCGCTGATTGCCTCACAGGCGTTAATATAAATCATATATGCTGTGAGAAATTACATGTAAGTAATTTGGGTGAGACAAGTGGAACTTAGTCACAGTAGATCACAGGACTGTCACTCTCTCGAGGCCCACTCCTTCACCACTCACAAAAAAGCTAGACCTGACATTATATTAATAATTACAATATTAAACATTAGTACCAATAATGGTAAATTATAAATTAGTGTGGACTGTTCGAAAATTAAAGGAAACGATCTCCAGAAAGGATTAATGGGAACACTAATACACACAGACACAGTAAGAATTTTCTGATTGAGACCAGGCACATATGTACCAAGTTAGTTAATTAATTATTATTATAATCAAGGGGGAAGCGCTAAACCCGGAGGATTATACAGCGCCTGGGGGAGGGGGGATGTGGAAGGCATTCAGGCTTAATTCGGGGAACTGGAGCACAGATCCAATTCCCTAAATCAAGAGGGGCTCACCAACATCAAGGAACCTTCCTTGAGGGGTTTAGTTAATTAAGAAATTTATATTACCACTTACCATTTATATTGTAGCTGGATCACCCCACATTGCCTCCCTAACAAATAGAATCCTACTGCCCAGCGAGAAATCTAAATGAAAGGATTAATGGCGTGCATACTGGATGTGTTGCATGGCGACGCCTCATTATTTCCACTATCACCACCTAATTCTGGAGGGCCCGCAAATTCTCTGTCCCTATTCTTCAACAGGATATATTTCAGTGTTTATTAATAATAGTTTCAGGCCGATCCATTCAATTATGGCCTCGATGACGCAGGATTACTAGATGCTTTCACCACAACCAGTGCTTACACATAAATGCTCTATGGTGTCCTTCTCCCGTTGTATCACTCCGCGGCCGCTGCTTACCCTCCTTCACACAAAATTTCTTGAAGGGTCAAATCAGCGTCACATTTAGGTACACAGTTATTTTATTATTCATATTTACACATGCTGAATTTAGGAAAATTGGAAAAAAATTCACATACGCATTACCTGAAGGAAATACAAAGAAAAAAAATAACATTTTTAGACTCTACAATTACGCATAAATACATTTTAAGTTTTAAATTATATGTGCGAGGAGGAGAAATATCGTAGAACTATGGAATATCGTCACGAAGTTCCCACACTGGGAATTAGCAGAAGTAAACACTGCTATCTGATATGGAAATTGAAAAGTTGAAAAATATTTTGTAATAGGGAAGCTATATAATGGAATGTGGCCTAATTGGACTGATGTTGGAAGTAATATTTTTTTAAAAACGTACCAGTTCATTTAACAACTTATAAACGTATTATAACAGCATAAAATTATTTTATTTAAAAGAAATTTAGATGTCTAAGATGGTATATACACGGAGAGGCGCGTATCATTCAGTGTATGTATACCGACAAGTGCGTATCGTTCAGTGAATGTATACCGACAGGTGAGTATGTTTTGTATACCGATAGGTATGTATATTTAAGTGTATTTATACCGAGAGGTGTGTGTCTGTTCTCCCCTGTTCATTGAGAACTGTGTTTTCATA